CGGGGTTTCATCTCGATCCTAGGGATCCTTGGCCTCTCAGGTCACGGACTTTGGCATCAGCAAGGCAAAAGGGTCCCGTGCGTGCGTGTGGGACCCACTCACCCGAAGCATCGGCCGTTCCTTTGGGCTTCCAAAATTGGGTTGTCCTTGGCACCGCGGCACCCATCAGTCAACAAAGCACCGACCGCTCGCTCCATTTGTGCGTCGTTCCGTTTTTTCCATGGCCTTTGTTTCAGAACAGCCGCACAGAGACAATATCTTAGTGGTGGTATTTGTGGCTTCGCAGAACCGGCTGGCTGCTTGTTGAGAAAACAGAGCCCCAAGGAATAGGCGTTGCTGCTTTGAAATCATGCTGGCGCTTGTTGTGCCGGGATGACAGCTGACCAGGGGGCGCTGTGTTTTGTGTTGGGCGCGGCTCGTTTGCGCCGTGTCAAAGCTAGGCGTACTTGGTACACGACACTTGTACTGAAAGTCGTGCGAGTACTGTGTGTTTTTTGTTTTTGTTTGATTATTTGTGTTTTCTTTATCCTCCTTTGTCCTTCTCCTTGTCCTGCTGTGTTGTTTTTCTTTCGTTCTTTCTTTCTGTCTTTCTCTCCTTCTTGCTTTATTTCTGTATTTCTTTCTTTCTTTCTTTCTTTCTTTCTTTCTTTCTTTCTGTCTTTCTTTCTTTCTTTCTTTCTTTATTTCTGTCTCTTTTTTTTTATCTATGTGTGTTTTCTGTTTTGTTCTTGCTCTTTCCCGTTGTGTTCTTTCTTTTACTTCCCTGTGTTTTCTTCCCTTTGTCTTTCTCTTGATCTTCCTCTTTGTCTTTCTTTCTCTCTCTCCAGCCCTTAAAAGTTAAACATGCAACGAACTATTGCAAGCGCAGTGAAAGACACAAAAAAACACGGGTAGTTCAATATTCACCAGCCAAAAGCCCTCGAAGAGTTGCGCGAGCGAAGTGAAAAGGCCGTCGCGACTGAGTTGGTGTGCGCACCTGCGGAAGAGCTTGCAGATTCATGAGTACTCGTGATTTCTTGCATGTTCCTCCTTTGTTTGCGACGGACCCCCTTTTTTAGTGTTTTCACGCGTGGCTCTTAGAGCGATCTAACATCAATTGGCTTGCATGATGCGTAGGTTTTTGCTAAATGTCCTTTGGCTACGTTTGTGCTGAACAACTGCAAATTTCCAGCCGGAGCTGCCAAAGTGTGTTTCGCGGCTTCGCGTCTGCACTTGTACTGAACAGTTGCAACTTGCGAGCCAAACCTACACGTGTACTGAAAGGTTGCGACGTTTCAGCCGGACCTGTCAAAGTGTAAATCGTATATTTACCACACTGGCGCTGAAAAGTTGCCACTTCAGAACTGGAGCTGCCAAAGTGCACCTCGGGGCTGCCAAGGTGCAATTTGCATACTACACCTGTGCCGAGGATTTGCGACTCTTTTTTGTATTCGACATCTGCACTGGAAATCCTACACATTTATTGCAGTTTCAAGCAAACAGACATGAACAAAACGATACAGAAAGTCCTGTTTTGTTGTGGCAGCATTCACGGAACCGGATTTGGAACAAAAGATGTGGCCGCTCGATTGGCCGCCCGCTGGAATGTATCTACACGTGCGCAAAGTGGGCATTGGCCTGAGTGGAATTGGGGGGGGAGCAGGTAAAGCAAGTGCTCCTCGTGTCACTTGTGTCATTGGACATTGTGTTGTTTTTTGTTATGATGATTTTTTTGTTCGTGTAAATGACATGCTGGTTAAGTGTGTTTTACTGTCGCCTTTACGCCCACCGGTCATTGTTGCGAGCTAGTTTGAACAAGGAACCGGCTCACAGAGGCATCCCCAGAACCTGGGACCTGCGCATGCAAAAAGCATCCTCCCAAAGGCAACCTACGCCAACACGCATGCAAACATGAATGGGGGCCCGCCAAACAAGAAGCCACGTGTCAAGGTGCCTGGCACCAACCCTTGCGAAGAGGATTGCATCGCTTCTTGGATGCTGTTGAACCAGCAACCATTGAGTCATTAAGTTGAATCGCGTTCCAAATGAAGACGGCGGAAATGGTTTCTGGGACCAGCCGCCAGCTGCAAAGCAGAGCACTACGATTTGTTCACATACTTCTTTATGTTGTTATAGAAGGTTCCAGTCTTCATGCCCTTTGATCGAGGATGTGTGCGCTTTTTTATTGAACTCCAAGTGTCGCAAAATGTGTAGTACACTTGTTTGTTTGCGCAGGGACATGATTTCCTTGCAGTTCTGTTTCGGGCCACACGTTGCGAACCTCAGTTTATGTTCAGCGGCAACGCGGCCAGATTATGCCCGAGAAGAAGTCTGGCTTGCATGATTTTGAGCCTGCCCGGATGACTGGGGGTGTTGGCGCCTTAGTGACTCAAGGCCAGGAGCACGAAGAGTGGCACAGGGTTTGATGAGCCAGTTTCTCTTTAGTCAGCCCGAAGTGAACCAACCTTGCAACTGTTGGTTTTCCTTTCGCCATTTGTCTCCCATGTTTTGTCAGGACCATTGAGAAAACCTGTGTAACTGTGGTCACACTTGAGTTCACACCCGAGCGCCCGAGCTGATGTGACGTGACGTGCTAAGGTGGGGACATGGCGCTATATGGCACCGGAGGTCGTACGATACCAAGCCTACACAGATCGTATCGACATCTACGCCCTCGCCCTGATCGCGGCTCGGCGTGTAAGCCACGCATTATCTTTCTTACAAACGTGCCTTCAAAAATACGTGTCTCCGACAATCTCAACGAAATGCGATGTCGAGCTATGTCGAGCCGACTTCGAGTTTCTTTCAACCAGGCAAGATTCCAAGGCGGAAACATCTCCAGATAGATTTGGACAACGTGCCATGTCCAGACCGTTACACCAATGTGTACAGTATATTGCTTTGAGGGTAGTGATCTGGGACTGCAGAGAAGCCTTCACTCGCATATTCAAGATCGGCGTGATGCCTGTGTTTGCTCAAATGAGCACAACGTGGCTGTTTCGGAAAAAGTGTAGCTAGACGTGTAGGGTTTCTTTTGGAGGTATGCCCTGCTTAACAGTCCCCCAGGCCCCGAGGGACATTCTGATCTCTCACTTTCCGCAGGCATACTTCGTTTTGTCCGGGAGGCGACTTGGATGCACCGACGGACTTTCCCAAAAAGGTTCTGGGGGCCAAGGAGTACATGGGCGTTTCCGAAATGGAGGACCTTTGAGGCAGACCAAACCACTTGTGGCTAGTGTCTCCAGGTTTTGTGAACCACCCATTTCTTGGAAGAACATGCTCGCAGGGTGTGACTCACTTGCTCCACGCAAAAGAGCAGACGCAAAATGCTCAGCGTTTTTGAGCAACTTGCTTCAGCTCAAGTAAACCTTTGCTGGTGGTTTGGAATGGTGGCTTGGGGATGTGAACCCTTGGCTTTTGTAAAGCGAAGATTTGAGTCCAAACCGCAAGGGGTGCCGGGCATCAGCATCACCTTGGGCACGTGCCTTCTGCCTTTCTCAAAAATACATTTCCCACGCGCCGTATGAAAACTACAAACCCCTCCGGATGGTTTAGTGCAGCTTTTACTTTGAAGCCTTCATCAAAGTTTGAAAAGCAAAACAATTAGTTGAACCACAGCGCTTGCGCCCTGTTTGAACATGGACTTGTGTTTAACTCCCAGGGAAACCTTCGTCTTGGGGGATGGGGAGGGGAGGGCACGTTCTCGCCACACACCGTTTTCCCCTGTTACCGCACCCGCCCAACGTCACCTGCTCGAACTGTAGCTGACACATGCCCGCGCTGGCGGAATTGTGTCGTAGAGTCTTCGACACCTACCCGGCACGATGCGCATGGCCGCAAGTGGAGCGTGAATCATTGGCCCAATTTCTGCACTCTGCGCAGGCCCTTTTGCAGGAACGCCACGCTGCTTTCGCAGGCCTTGCGCACCAGCAACTTCTACTCCAGGTTTGCTTTGCAGAGGGAGTCTTGCTCGTGCCCTCAAGTTGCTGCAGAGTTCGGTTGAGGAAGCTCTTGGGAAGGTGTCTCCTGCGACTGTCTCAGCTGATGTGCTTCTTTGAGAAGATGCTGCAGTTTGCCCAGTTTGCCGGCGCACTCAATGCAGGAGCCGGCCGCAGTGCGCTCTTCACCTCTTGGATTGGCGCTTGCCGTGAGTGACCTCTTGTCCAGCAACTTCTTCCCGTGGCTGATATTCCCAAGCGCCCAAAGACACCGCAAGGACATGCCCGAAGACCCCCGCCAAAGACATCGCCCGACAGAGAACCTACCAATACCAAGAAGACTTCTAAAGATCACCCCCAATTCGCAAAGACACGTTTAGAGCCATCCCCCCAAAAAATACCACGACAACTGCACTCCGTATACTGTGCCGCCAAATTCCCTCTCGTCTCCACCATTTGTGAGTATACCCGAAACATGCCGAAATGGCTCAACGCGTGACCCTCTGAAGTACTGCGCCTGTCGCAGAATCTGCTTCAAAGCGCCGCGCCTGCCACGAAATCCACGCACCACCCTCCAGTGTACCGCGTTTGCCGCGAAATCTGCGCACCAGCGCCTCAACCCTCAAAGTATTGCGCCTGCCAACAAGGCCAGCACTTTGTGTGTCAAAGTGATGCGCCTAACAATGTGCCGCTCCTGCCACTCCGGCTTTGACACGTTCGGCGCGCCTATCAAAGAATCAAAAGGGGAATTTGCACCCAGAATGATGTCAACCCGTTTTGTCACACAATTCACTCACCAGAACGAGCCGATTGCACGACAGGGCCGGCGAAACTGGCAGTCAAGCAAATGCACAACATGACAAAGCTTAGCTAGTCTCAACGGAGGATCGCCAAGCACGAGGTTGAATCAACTGGGCTCAACGGTTGCCATGAGTTGACTGCTCCTCACGGTGCAGGCAGCCCTTCGACAAGTTCTGCCGCAATGACCCCGAGCGCATTTTGAAGGCCCATCAAAGTGGCATGCGTTAGACAGGGAAGGAACATATTGGTTGGTGGGGGAGACCTAGGTCTAAGACTTGTCCAATGTCACGCGTCCTAGTTGGTTGCCAGGATAAAGCAAAGATGCAAACCTCCGCTGGGTTACACCGGTTGCTCCTGTTTACCCTGTTGCCGGGTCCAGCTTTTTGGCAGCCGAACAAGGCATCACATGCAAAAAAGGGGCCCCACAAGTTGATGGTTTCCCGTTGGTTTCCCTTTGATATGTGCCATGTTGGAAAACCAGGATTGCCGGGTGCACTTCTATACGCTGAAAAGTCGCACGTTTTGGGAGCATTTCGAAACTCAAAAACACAAATGTGTCAACATGATTCTGTTAGTTGTCCACAAGTTTGGGGAGCATTGCGATGCTCAAAACACACGATTTCGCGGACTTCCACATGTTTTCTGCGCAAATTTCCGCAGCATGTGAAAACATCTTGAGGCTCATAGCACACACATGCGTCCACGTCAGGGTTTTTGGTAATTGTCCACAAGTGTGGGATCGTTCTCAGGCTTCAAAAAACATGTGGTTGTGCAATTGTCCACAAACGTTGAGAGCATGTTGAGGCTGAGAGCATGTTGAGACTTAAAACACGCATGTGCTCACGTGTGTTGAGCTATTTTCCACAAGTGTTTGGAGCACTTTTCGGCTGAATACACTTACTACATGTGTCCACCTTTTGTTTGGCAATTGTCGCATTTATGACGCTTAAAGCAGGGATCGCAAATTGCGACTACTCACTTGCGAGTGCAAGACGTGCTCGCAGCGAATCGGTCGCGTAGCGTTTACGAGGCGCCTGCAGCCTGCACTTCGTCAGCAAACATGTGAAGCTTAATTTTTCGCTACCATGATCTTGGGTGAGTGGCGGCAGGAGATCATGCATGAGGAACATACGTCACGCACTCGCAGGTTAGAAAAGTGGGAATACAAAATAGAGACCGCACTCGCAAATGAGTGGAAAATGGGCTGAGCTCGCACGTGAGACCGAAACAGCAGCGCAAGTGAGCTAAGCAGCCGTGATCATGGTGATGCTGATGATGAGGATAATGATGACGCTTATAATTACAGCGGTGATGGTCATGGGCATGGTCATGGTCATGGGCATGGCCATCATGGACCATCGTGGTGATGATGACGATGATGATGACAATGACGCTTATGATCGTGATGGTGATGGTGAGTGATGATGACGGTGGCGGTGGTGTTTTTTTTAGTTCCGGCAGCGATACTGCCCCGTTTGACATTGGAAAGTTGTTTGGCGCCCTTTCTTCATCTTTGCAGGGCGGCCCTTGATAACCAGCAAAAAAATCAACGAAGCTGATCATTTGCAGAGGAAGCGTGTGGGTGTCCATTTAATGTTCCAAGGGAGCCTAAGGGGTTCAGCGGAGAGCGTGCGGCGCGCGGGGTCGTGGTTTACTGGAGGCCTATTTGCAAGGCAAGGAGATTCGCCCTGAGCTGGACATGTTCATGGGATCCATGGAGACGCGGAGCTTCCTGCAGGCCTCAGGGCTTTTAGCGGTTTGTCTTGCTGGCTTGGTTTCTGGCGACGCTTTTGTAGGAAGCCACGAGCGACGGTTTATGGGGTGAAAATTGAGTTTCGTTGGAGGTTGGTAATCCCTGTTTGGAGCTGGTTGTAAGGCAAACGGAGTTGCGGTGAAGAAAAGCAGCAGACAAATCTGGAACACCGACATTTATTCGTTTTCGGAAGTGTCTCCTGCTGATGGAGCCCCTGTGTCTGCAAATGGCGTCAACGGGTAACAATCTGATACATCATGGTACATCACACCGCAGGACACTCCTGAAGGGTGTTGGGGGCGGCCTTTGAGGGCGAAGCAGGGAGAGAACTGAGATCTTATGATTCAATTAGTCGGAGCCGATTCTGCTGCCATCTGAGTCTTGGGATATCTTAGACTTGACCATGCATCAGTCCAAGTAGAGTGTTAGCTGCCGCGTGCCAATGGCACACATTCTTTGCTGAAGACGAAGTCTTGCATTCCTGTCAAATGCATCGGGTTCAGACGGCATTCAGCGCGCGGCATGCTCTGCAATGCATCGACGTAGAGGCTGAAGAAATCTGACCAGATTCCAATCACCGCCGCTAACCACTACTCTTAGGGAATATGTTTTGTATAGAACCACTATACGCACTAAGACGGGTTGTTGCAAGCCGTCTTGAAAGCATACTATTCATCCTTTCCTTTTGCAGTGTTTTTTTCCCCCGAGGCTGTGTCCAACATGGGGCATGTCCATGACTGTGCACTGTTCAGAGGTGTTTGTTCCATTGACAGTAAGCCGACATCACTTTGCCCTTGCGAGCTTAGAAAGCTAACGCTTGAACTTGTGCTGGCCGGGCCTCTTAGTCGTCGTGGCTTATGGAGTCTTTCTGCGCCGTGGTGCTGCATTCACGGGGTTGAGGATTTATTCACTTCAGAGCTGACAAGGGGCTCCCCCCGACCAAAAATGGTCCGGATTCATCCAAAGTTGATGTGGGGGTGTCGCGAAAGAGGGCTGACCCTCAGATGCCTGATTTCCTCTTCGCGAAACGAAGCCCAGATCAGCTCCACCAGGTTCTCCCCAGTTCCATGTGCTAGGAAGCCTGGCATGCCGACGCGGCCAAGAGACCATCGGCTGCCCAGTGCGTCGAGAGGCCCCCGCGCCAGAGCGTTCGCTGGGCTGGCACGGCAGGGTTGTGGCCATTGGCTTGGGAGACCCTGCACTTGACCTATGTCCTTGTCGGCAACGCACCATACGTGCGGTGAGTTTTGTTCTAGACGTATTCCAGCACCATCCTGTATAGTCTTACCCTTGATGACCGGGCGCTAATTGACAAGTCTTTGTTTCCTGTTGGTTATCGTTTCCTTTGACTAAGGCCGAGCGGTGTGATTTGTTTCATGGCTCTTCCAGTTGCTGCCCTAACTTTGTGCAGCCACAAAGAATCAAAGCGCGAAGAGGGGCCTGAAAAGGGGTGCGGTGCCCTGTGAAGAATGGAAGAACGATTTTGGGCTAGACACATGCAGCAGCCACGATTCTGTTTACGTTCGTCAGTTCAGCCAATGGCCCGGCTCGGGCGCGCAACTTGCGTGGCTGTTTTCGGCAAATCGGGAAGCGGTGTAATGGGAACCCAGGAAAAGTAAACATTTGGTCGATGGAAAAGGCGGGTCCCATTCAAAAGGGAAATCATCACTTTCAGGAGAACGTGTACTTGTTGGTTTTCTTAGGGTGCTAAAATAGCAATATGTTGTTTGCACAAACGGAGGCCAACGAGGGATTTGTATTTGTTCTATTTTCTGGAAAGCTAACCAGCAAGATACCTACGAAACGCGGACACTGGTGTATTGTCTGTCTGCGCCGGGGCCTCTCTTGCTGAAGCATTGTAATACCCTCCGTGTCGCATTCGCGAAGAAGCGCCAAATTCCACCAAAACCTTGAGTTCGTGATTAAGTAGTGTGATTCGCTTGGAAAGTTAGCGGTTGCTCACATCCAACTTCTCGAAAGGACGCTAGGGCTTGGACCTGGCCACTGAGCACCAACCAGCTATGATTTGGATGAACACTTGCTTGTAGCAATTTTAGTCGGGCAGGTTTGACACGACCCTTTTTGGCGGCGCCCTTCAAAGGGGGCACGAGGGGTGTTTTGGCCGAACGATTTGCCTTCAATTTTCCCACGCTTATCAACCTCGGCCAGTTCATGACTTAGCACCTCAAAGAACCTGAGGGTCGGAGGTCTGACTCAATTTCCTGGGCAGTCTTTTGGGAGGGGTGTGACACTGGGTAGGAACAACCCCCATCTCACACGAGCGAGTCGCGAGGTTGTCCGAAATCCGGCAGCACGGCATTTTCCACTCCGCAGCTCGGCGGGCTGATGTGTTTGTGTGCGTGCGTGCGCGGGTGTGTGTGTGTGTGTGTTGTGTGTTGCGTTGTGTGTTGTGTGTTGTGCGTGTCTGTGTGTCTGAGTACGCGCATGTCCGCATTTGTGCGTGCGTGCGTGCGTGCGTGCGTGCGTGCGTGCGTGCGTGCGTGCGTGCGTGCGTGCGTGCGTGCGTGCGTGCGTGCGTGCGTGCGTGCGTGCGTGCGTGCGTGCGTGCGTGCGTGCGTGCGTGCGTGCGTGCGTGCGTGCGTGCGTGCGTGCGTGCGTGCGCGTGCGTGCGTGCGTGCGTGCGTGCGTGCGTGCGTGCGTGCGTGCGTGCGTGCGTGCGTGCGTGCGTGCGTGCGTGCGTGCGTGCGTGCGTGCGTGCGTGCGTGCGTGCGTGCGTGCGTGCGTGCGTGCGTGCGTGCGTGCGTGCGTGCGTGCGTGCGTGCGTGCGTGCGTGCGTGCGTGCGTGCGTGCGTGCGTGCGTGCGTGCGTGCGTGCGTGCCGTGCGTGCGTGCGTGCGTGCGTGCGTGCGTGCGTGCGTGCGTGCGTGCGTGCGTTGGGTGCGTGGGTGTGTGTGTGTGTGTGTGTGTGTGTGTGTGTGTGTGTGTGTGTGTGTGTGTGTGTGTGTCTGTGTGTCTGTGTGTCTGTGTGTCTGTGTGTCTGTGTGTCTGTGTGTGTGTGGTCTGTGTGTCTGTGTGTGTGTGTGCGTGTCTGTGTGTCTGTGTGTCTGCGTACGCGCATGTCCGCATTTGTGCGTGTGTGCGTGTGTGTGTGCGTGTGCTCGTGTATGTGTGTGTGTGTGTTGTGTGTTGTGCGTTGTGTGTTGCGTTGTGTGTTGTGTGTTGTGTGTGTGTGTGTGGGTGGGTGTGCGTGCGTACGCGCATGTCCGCATTTGTGCTGTGAGCGTGTGCTCGTATGTGTGTGTGTGTGTGTCGTGTGTTGTGTTGCGTTGTGTGCTGTGTGTGTTGTGCGTGTGGGTGGTTGTATGTGCGTACGTGTGTGTGTGTGTCTGCATTTGTGCTGTGTGCGTGTGCGCGTGTGCTTGTGTGTGTGTGTGTTGTGTGTTGCGTTGTGTGTTGTGTGTTGTGCGTGTGGGTGGGTGGGTGTGCGTACGCGCATGTCCGCATTTGTGCTGTGTGCGTGTGTGCGTGTGCTCTTGTGTATGTGTGTGTTGTGTGTTGTGCGTGTGGTTGGGTGTGCGTGCGTACGCGCATGTCCGCATTTGTGCTGTGTGCGTGTGTGCGTGTGCTCGTGTGTGTGTGTGTGTTGTGTGTTGTGCGTGTGGGTGTGTGGGTGTGTGTGCACGCGCATGTTTGCATTTGTGCTGTGTGCTTGTGTGCGTGTGCTCGTGTGTGTGTGTGTGCGTGTGCGTGTGCTCGTGTGTGTGTGTGTTGTGCGTGTCTGTGTGCCTGTGTGTCTGCGTACGCACATGTCCGCTGTTTTGCTGTGTGCGTGTGTGCGTGTGCTCGTGTGTGTGTGTGTTGTGTGTTGTGCGTTGTGTGTTGCGTTGTGTGTTGTGTGTTGTGTGTGTGGGTGGGTGTGCGTGCGTACGCGCATGTCCGCATTTGTGCTGTGTGCGGGTGCTCGTATGTGTGTGTGTGTGTGTGTTGTGTGTTGTGCGTTGTGTGTTGCGTTGTGTGTTGTGTGTGTTGTGCGTGTGGGTGGGTGTATGTGCGTATTATACGTGTGTGTGTGTGTTGTGTGTTGTGCGTTGTGTGTGTGTGGGGTTGTGTGATGTGTGTTGTGCGTGTGGGTGGGTGTGTGTGTGTGTGTGCGTACGCGCATGTCCGCATGTATGCTGTGTGCGTGAGTGCGTGTGCTCGTGTGTACGTGTGTGTGGGTGTGTGTGTGTGTGCGCGCGTGTGCGTGTGCGTGTGCGTGTGGCTGGGCTGCGCGCGTACGTGCATGTCCGCATTTGTGGTGTGTGTGTGTGTGTGTGTGTGTGCGTGTGTGCCTGTGCTCGTGCGCATGTCAATCTGTGTGCGTGTGTGCCAGGGTGTGCGTGTGTGTGTGTGTGTGCGCGTGTGTGCGTGTGCGTGTGCGTGTGCGTGTGGGTGTGGGTGGGTGCGCGCGTGCGCGCATGTCCGCATTTGTGCTGTGTGCGTGTGTGTGCGTGTGTCCGCGTGCTCGTGTGTATGTGTGTGTGTGTGTGCGTAGGTGTGTGTGCGTACGCGCATGTCCGCATTTGTGCTGTGTGCGTGTGTGCGTGTGCGCGTGTGCTCGTGTGTACGTGTGTGTGTGGGTGCCTGGGTGTGGGTGTGTTTGTGTGTGCGCGCGTGTGCGTGTGCGTGTGCGTGTTGGTGTCTGTGTATGCGTACGCGCGTGTCGGCATTTGTGCTGTGTGTGTGTGTGTGTGCGTGTGCTCGTGTGTTTGTGTCTGTTTGTGTTTGTGTGTTTGTGTGTTTGTGTGTTTGTGTGTGTGTGCTTGTGTGTGTTTGTGTGTGAGAGAGAGAGAGAGAGAGAGAGCGTGCGCGTGGGTGTGTGTGTGTGTGTGCGCGTGTGTGGGTGTTTGTTTGTGCGCGCGGCCATGTGTGCTGTGTGCGTGTGCTCGTGTGCTCGTGTGTGCGTGTGTGGGTGCGTGCGATTGCGCGTGTGTGCGTGCGCGCGCGCGTGTGTGGGTACGTGTGTGTGTGTGTGTGTATGGGTGTGTGTGTGTTTGTGTCTGTGTCTATGTCTGTGTTCGTGTCTGCGTCTGTGTCTGTGTTTGTGTCTGCGTCTGTGTCCGTGTCTGTGTCTGAGTCTGTGTCCGCGTCCGTGTATTTGTGCGCGTGTGCACTTGCATGTTTGCACGCGCGTGTGTATGCGCGCGTGCGCGTGTGCGTGCGTGGGCGTGGGTGTGTCTGTGTGTGTCGCATGTGTGTTGGTGTGCGTGCGCACGCCGTGTCTCCTGTGTGTGTCTCGTTGTTGTCTCTGTGTGTGAATCTGTGTGTATTTGTGTCTGCGTGTGTCTCTGTGTGTCTTTTTGTGTCTCTCTGTGGTCCCTGTGTGCCTCTGTGCGTCTCGTGTCTCTGCGTGTCTCTGCGTAACGGCTGCGTGTTTGTTGTGGGGAGGCTTTCGGTGGATGTTTGTGGCACACAAGCAAACCTTCAGATTCTCACCTGCCCAGCAACAGTGACCATAGTCAAAAACCACAAAATAACAACGGATTGTACGGGCTGGGGCTCAGGAGTGTCCGAGAGCAGGGCGGGCAAGAATTCATTTTAAAGGAAACGGCATGTTTTTGCTCAAGCTTGCCTAGTTTGATCAATTCGGGCAAATTTGCACGACAAAACAAGCACACAAGAACAACAGAACAAACAACGCACACAAAACATGAAACACAACATGAGCAGGAACACAGGCGCAAAATTGTGGTTTCTGTTGTTTTTTGTTGTGTTTCCATGCAAAAACAAAATACACAAAAACACACTGAAAATTGTTCTTATCCTCTACTCGCCGCTTCCCATCCCGCGTGGGGCTAGTGTGTGAGGCGGGTGCTGGAGTGGGTGTGGGGGCAGGCCGGGCGCGGCGGAGGGGGCTTGGGGTGGGCACGGGAGCCGGCGCGGGCTGGCAGGGTGTGTGTGTGTGTGTGTGTGGCGGGACTAGTGCGGGAGGAAAGCATACAACACCAGAAAATGAGCCACAAAAAACACAAGCACAGAGCAGCAGGCAAACCAGCAACAAAAGCATGCAAGCCACGAGCAATCACCACAATGAAACAAAAAAGCACTGTGTCAGCATGAGCTATTCGTTGGATCACTAGATCAGCATTAGGGATGGATGTTTGCCGGCCAGCTGACACGCTTACGGCTGCTGGGAAGGGGAGGGCCACGGAAACCGAAATTTGTTTGCGGCTCATGTCCTCAAATCGCTTGAGTCCCACGAGATCTGAGGTCAACATCCTTGCCAGGGGCTTTGCTCGGAGTGTATCCAAATAGAGCGCCCGGATCCAATTCGCTGGCTTCACACCTTCACCGGATCTGGAATCAAAGCAATCTTTCCGACGGTTTCTGACCTCACCCATGATAAAGATGTTCTTCTTGCATTTATGTAGTGTCGTCCACTCAGATAATACGAGTGATTCCCGAAGCATCATAAATAGGCGCAAAGGACAGCCTGGCATGATGAAGGTTTCCTATGTGGAGTGGTTCCTCGTTTGCATGGTTTCAATATCGGGCGGCCAGGCGACATTTTTCACTTGAGTCACTGACAATGATAGTCTACTGTTAGTTTTGACATAGGGGGGACACCCAAATTACACACGAAGCGCAAACACCAGTGCCAACCATGGCTCTTATGTGTTGTTTCTTCGTTGTTTTTTCGTTTTTTATTCTGTTTTTTTTTGTTTTGTGTTTTTTCTTTTCGGGAAGCAAGTAGTTTTGTCCGTTGATCACAGAGCGGGGGCATAGGCCCGAGTGGAGGGTTCTGGAAGACTATCCAGGAGCTTCCGGTGGGTTCCATCACAAAATGGGGGAAGGATACATCCACCAAGCGTCTTGTACGTCTATCAACGGCTCCTGGGCTCCAAGCCTTGCTCATTGAACCAAATTAGGGAAGCGCTGAAGAAATGAAAATGTTAGCAGCACAGACTGGAAGTATTCACAGTCTCAATTTGTCAGTCAACTGCCGAACTTCTTTGATCTTCTTTGGATTGTTCCAAATGGAAACAAAAGGAAGCCAACCACCAGCACCATGTTGAGAGAAACACCTATCACTGTCACCATTCAGCATTCAAATGTCTAGAAATTGAGCCAGGCCTGGGACCCTGGCGGTCAGCATTTCCGATGAGTTTGTTTTGCGAACTGGGCATAAAGCTGACTTCATCAACTGCAGCTTTTAGTTCCGGGTTTTCGTTTTTGGCCGATATTACTTTCTTTTTCAACCTGTCAAACGTGCGAACATATCTATTGACTGGCAGCACGTTTGACTCTTTTTAGGGGGTCAACGATCAACCCAGATCAGGCAGACAAATCGTCAGACATCCGGCGAAAAACACCCAAGTTAGCATTTCCTTGTATTGGAGCAAGATACCAGCAACATGGGCGTTACTATTGTCCTCCAGTTCCGCGAAGAAACCGGCTGCCAACCTGTGCTCCCGCTGCGCGCAGATGTGCGGAGCACGACCGCAAATGGCGGGGCTGTTAAGAGAGGAGTTGTTCACTTTGGATTCCTTAAACCCATCATTGTGGAAAGTTGTTTTTTAGGCTGTCACTTTCTATGATACCAGCGAAAGGGCTGTTTCCCACCCCGTGACAAAACCCTCGGCGTGAATCAAGAGCTTCCTTTTCGGAGCAATGGCAGTCAAGTCGGCGTGCGCTATTTGTTTATGACCAGCCACTTAAGGAGACATTACGTAAAGACATTAACGACAGAGACTCAACGAGTGCTTGACAAAAATGACTAGGTTTAATCCATTGGCAGTGGCCATGAGCGTCGCTCGCGTCTGCTAGCGGCAAGCGTCTAGTGAACAAGACAAGTGATACTTTGCCGCGCGCTCTTTGGGCAAAGCTCCATGCTTAAGAGGAAATCCATCCGATCAAAGTTCATTTGAGTTTTGCATAACTTGTCCAACTCAAGGCCAAGGGACTTCACTAAAGCTCCCCTTCCTTGCGCGTGGGAACACTATGTAGACCACCAGAGGTCCATGAGACTTCATGGCCGAAGGCGATAAACGGATCCCTGGTAGCAAATTTGGGCTCACTACTGTCTGGTTGGAAACCTGCCTGTGAGCCCACAAGAATCAGAATGCCAATTCAGATGCATGATGCGGCAGTGGCTAGGGGCTGTGCTCTGTCTTGATGAGTCATGAACCTCCACTATAGCTCAGGCTTATCCAGAGACTCCCCCGGGCCCTTGTTGGAGGTTCGTGATGTAGCTAGGTCCGACAGAGAGCCTGTTTGTGAGACTTTGCATAGCAATGTCACCGGGGCTTTGATGGAGTTGCCGGCGCCTCTCACATTCAAGCCAGTACCATTGCAGTTTTGAACATGGAACCAGCTGTCACTCGGAGGCTAGCAGGTAGAGAGAGAGAGAGATGTTTCCACCCAAAAGTCTGTTTTTGTCTTGCTTGGCTGCTCGAGCAACGCCACCCCAGTCATATTGACTGGAAACCCATGCGGCCATCATTCGGAAAAACTGCGAGTTGTTGTGGCATCTCAGCTTTTTGGAGTATCCTCTAAGCACTTCTGTTGGCTGCAATTTGGGTTCCAGCTCCGTCGAATGCGACGGATATTTGGGAGAGGCTGTTCGTCCTTGGGCCTAGAGTCGTTCACGCGCTCCAAATGGCAAACGATTTTCCTTGGCGTTTTGCGTCAAGAAGCTACCCATAGCTACCCACATGTCCCGCAAGAGACACGAAGCATTCGATGGTGCCCAGTGGGGGCGTTTATGAAAACCGGGGCATCTGGGTGAGCTTTTGGGTTCAAGCGGTTGGAAAGGCTGCCGAAAAGGGAAGGAAACAGTTCGATCCGCATTCTCAGTTGCGTCTACGAAGAAGGGAGATGCGTCTACGGTTGGAGATCTGATGAAGGCAGCGTCCAGAAAGCAAGTTTGGAGCCCGAATCTTGTTCCGAAGCGCAGCTGGACAGGCCTGCCAGACAAGGTTTCTCTTGACCAGCGAGCGAGAATTTGAACACTTGCTGCTTGGAAATTGGGCCATCAACTTTTATCGAGGAAACCGTTTCACCTCGCTTTGAATGGCTTCCACAGGTCCAAAGGCACTAGAAAGAAATGCAGCTGTCGGGGCTATCAGTAATCAGATTGGACACCTCGCTGGTTGCCAGTGGCTTTTTGGGGGGGACCTCCTCGAAGCCATCGGCTTGAAATTTTATATGGCCAGCGAGTTGACATGTCCCAGCCCATCCATTTGAACGACTTTTGAGTCGGTCGCTTCGTGCTGGAACAGCTGCTTGGGCTGTAGAGCTTTTGACTTCGGGACAGTCAGAGATCCGAGTCCAAGATGATAGCACCATGTTCCATTTGTTGGGCGGGCTTCCCTTTAACATAAGCCGCCGCAAAAGGGTTTGTCAGTCCCAAAACCAGAGGTTGCGCAAGATGCCAAGGTTGAACTGCAGTTTGGGGCAAGCAAGAATCTAAGAAGACACACCATCCAGGTTTGGCCCACTAGGCAAGCCATAGGTAACCAGGGCAAATTATTTAGCAAAACACAGAGGTAAGCACACTCCGGTTCAATGAGCACCAGCGCGTGTCTCGAATGTGGCGGACCCTGAAAGGCTTCGGTTTTCTTTTTGATTCCCCTCAAACCCCCGAAAAGTGCTCCTTTTGGTTTGGCAGAGGAAATCTGGGATGTTTCTTGGGGCGGACAATTGTCAGTGACCCTCCTTCAAACCAGGTCTTCTAGGGCCCAGCGGGCCCGCCTATTTCAAACTGATAGTAAGGCAAAGGGTCATCTTTGCAGGCTACAAAGTAACAGGCTTTGGTGCACTTTGCCAAGGGATGTCAAGACTTTCACTTTTTGCCAACTAGGTTTTCCGTATTAAGCCGCTAAAAGCAAAAGGTTAAAGTCACCATAAAAACTTTGCATGTTGCCACTAAAAGTTGAAAGCTTTTTTTCGCAGGGGAGCAGAAAGCAACCGAGACGCACCACAGTTTTGACGGTTGCCTTGGGGAGGAGAAACCTTGGGGAGGGATCCTTTGGAGCTGAACTTGATGAACGCTTCATAGTGGGCCGACCGACCAGTTGACCGTTTTTTGGTTTTTTTTTGGGGGGGGGGCTCATTTGCAACACATACTTTGAGTGAGTACTTTGCAGTCTTGCACAGCTTTCCTTTACAAGTGGACTTGCACTCGTTCCGACACATGGAGGGGATGTCAAAGCTATGAACCCCTTGCAACGGCCCTCCTTCTTCAAAGGGCCAACATGAGACCGAAGCAGCTTAGTCAACCACACGGAATCGTGTGTTAGGCCTATGCGTCATCCCCCACACTTAGTAGTTTATTCCCGATAGTACACCCAGGATCGGATTTGCTGAAGATTGGACAGTGGAAGCGGTTGGGGCGAAGCATACCCACCACTATGCTGCGCTTGCCTGTTGACCTCTTAACAAAGCAAGGCGGCCTAAGTTTTGGTGGGCTTCCTTTAACTCAACCAGCCAGAATATCGCTTTGCCACTGGAGAGAGCCCTGAAAGAGGCTTTTGGCAGGGCGTCCTTTGCTGAAGGGTTAAAGACAAACACTTGCCCATCCTCAAGGGAGGATAGGGCTGAAGTCTTGTCTGAATGACGGAGCGTATTGCGTGATGGTTCAGATTTAGCAGGGAACTGAGGTCAATAATTCAATCATAAACCTGAAGAGCAATTGCAGGCCAGCTGTTTCCATGGTAATTTGGCAACTGAATGGCTTGGCTCTTGCAATACTTCGCCTTTCGATGATGCTCACGGCGCCAAAAATACTTGCCAATGCAGCATTTTGTGGCAGCCCTCACTGAAATCTCTAAGCCCAGAACTCCGTTGCCCTTGCAGCATTGAACTATTTGTTATTGGGTCATGAGCCCGCGTATTCAGCCAGGTTTTGGCTGAAGTGGTCGGGTCCCTGGGTCGGATTTGTCTTGCTGGTGATGCTGGTGGTGCTGGCGCTGCTGGTGATGTCACCCGACCACTTCCGGGTGCAATAATGATATTTATTCTCACTGCTGGGGATGAATAACAATGATTCTCGTTATATTATTTGTATATTTGAAAAATGTTTGATTTTG